CTGCATAAAAACACCTCAAAATTAAAATGTAGCTATATTATAAGTTTAAAGTTACTAAATTTCAAGCCAAATGAGACTCGATATCTAAGCCCCGGTAGCCAAAATATTTTACCGAAAGCCCAACAATGTAGGCCTAATGTATGACTGTGAGTCAATTGGTCTTGGATGCACTCTAGTGCAGCCAAGATAGCTACAATAAATGAGGCCCAAAACGCACGGCCCAAATAAAAAAATGAACATTTAGTTAAAAAATATGAACATGAAAAAAGAAATGAACATTTAATAACAAAAAATGAACACGTAAAAAAATGAACATTTAATACTAAAAAATTTACATGTTATAAGAAAATGATCATTTATTAAAAATGAATCTGGTTATCATATAATCATAAATTTTCTAGACCACGTCCTTAAAAACGAACATTTAGTTAGAAAAATGAACACATAAAAAAAAAATATTCAGTAATAAAAATGAACACGTAAAAAATGAACATTCAGTAATAAAAAGTGAACATGTCAAAAAAAAATGAACATTTAGTATATTAGAAATGAACCTTTATCATACAACCATAAAATTGGGATCATATACATCGGAAATTCTCCAACTTAAAGGCAAATTCGTTGTAATATCATATAGTTCTTCATCACTTTTACTTGTTTCTTCACTAATTCAGAGTCTTTGTCTTCTACAAATACAATTAATCTGTACTCACTAAAATATAACAAATAATCAAAATTCATAATCATCACAACATATGATCATAATAATTATTTAGAATGTTCATAATATATAATCATCAATACAATAGTTAAAAATATAAATAATTATCACTCTATATGTCATATGTGTTCATAATCAATAACAGATATGTTCGTAATGAATGCGAAACATATATATTCATAATAAATTGTTCAGATTTTCAACACTAAATGTTCAGATAATTTAACTTTCAACGTAGTATATTTTACTTTCAACCTAATAAAAATGAACATTTAGTATTACCACACTTATAAAATGAACATGTAACAAAAAGTTATGAACATTTAGGATATTAAAATGAACATGATTTTCATAAAGGTTCAAATTCATTGTATATAATTATTAATGAAAAATAAAGATAAAATAAATTGTTGAAATATGTTCATTTTTTATATATTTAATATTCATTTTCGGTGTGCTAAATGCTCATTTTGTAAAAGATGTTCATTTTTAAATTCCTACGTGTTCATTTTTTTTACAGAAATTATATTCAAGATCAATTGTAATCATTGAAACTCTAAAAAATTGATTATACACCTTAAATCTAATCTCGTTTCATCATAGAGAAATTAATTATTGATTTGTAACATGATTAGAAATCAAAAGAAAAAAAAAATCAAAAGAAAAAGAGAGAGAGAGAGAGAAAGAAAGAGAGAGAGAGGGGGGGGGGGAGAAAATAACTACAAATTAAGCAATACAATTGATATTCATTAACAATTAAGCAATTTAATTGATAGTCATCACGAACTCATAATAATTTCAAACAATCAAACAGTAAATCATCATGCATGATCAACGAAATCATAAAAAATATAATTACAAATTGATAAAATCTAACCTTCATTGTTTTCTTTGACCTTCAGCTTTCTCTCTCCTCCATTTTTTTTCTTTCCTCTTTGATAAAGCCAAATGATTGAATATGAAACTCATAGATTTAGAAAGAAAGAAGTATACCCATCAAAACACGAATTAGTAACTCAAAAATTTATATAAAGAAGAAGAAAACTTTAAAGATTGAAGGGAAATCAGGTAAAGAGGAGAGAGAAAATGTTAAATTGAGAAGAAAACTGAAGAGAGAGAAAAATAATAGAGCTAAGGAAGAGAAGAAAGAGAATTAAGATATAAGGAAGAAAAAAAATATATGTTCATTTTAACGTACTAATGTTCATATTTAATAGTGTTGCAGCTAGCTTGGCTGCACTAGAATGCAGCCAAGAAATTGCAACTGTGAGTTAAATACATGTTATGGATTAGTGGATTACCAAGCCATTTGGGTCAAATGGCCCAAATTTAAGACTTTCTTTTCTGTTTTCAACTTGGCCCAAAAACTATGATTTTTTTTTTCTTCTTTCTCAGTTTAGAGTGTTGAACTTGAAGTGTTACCATGAAAATGTACGAGATAGATTCTTCAATCGTGAAAAGAAAATTCATACATCGTAGTAGTTAGTATCGATTTAGAAATTGTTTTTTTTTTAAAAAAAAAATAAATAAATTAGAATTAGAATAAGGTTTTAAATATTTGTGATTAGAAGTAATGTACTACTTCATAGCTAAAATTGGATTTAGGACACCAAAACCTAAGAATACATCAACTACACTCTAGCATTTCAAACTTTGGGCACGAGTCAGCCAAAGTCAATGTTGTTAAAAATGTACACTTGTAATACAAAGCTCCCTTCATTTATGTTTACTTGTATTAGACTATTAAATTATTTTGTTTATTTTCTTATTTTACTACTTGACAAATTAGGGAGAAGAGAGAATGAATAGCTTGTTTATTATTCATCGATAGGTAGAGTATTTATACAAAACCTCATCGATAGGTAGAGTATTTATACAAAACCTCATCGATAGGTAGAGTATTTATACAAAACCTAAGCTCATAAGAAAATAAACATTATTAAAGAAATAAAAATTTTGGGACTTTAAATTGAAATGAGAATAGATAGAAGATGGAGGGACTAAAATCAAAGAGAAAAAATAAAAAGGTTGAATTAAAAAGGGGGAGATGAAGATGAAGTGTTTAATGAAAGAGTTTAAAAAAAATTGTATAATTATAATTAAAAAAAGGTAAAATGACATGTGGCACGTTGGGTTGAAGAAGAAGTTAGGGAAGTGTAATAGAATGATAGCATATGTCTTTTTTGGTTTGCTTTTTTAAATACTAAGTATAGATGGGACGGTCAAATATTTTTTTGGGATAATAAAAGCCTATAATGCCAAATAAGCCACAGTTTTGCCTTCAAAAACATGTCTAAAGCAACGTATATATAATTATATATAACTTAGATTGGTTAAGACAATGTACATACAGTACTCAGCCATTAGTTGAAGGAGTATATATACAAGAATACAAGATACAACTCTCTAACAACCTAACCGCCTAACTAACTAATAAGTAACTAACTAACGGATAAGCCGTTGTGAAAATATCTTTATTAGGGTAACAATAATAGTCAACGGTCAACGATAAGATTATAAAGTCCAAAAATCTAACAAATCAAGAATCGATCTATTCTAACTGACCCATACATACAGTATACACTCTCTATATATATCAATAATATAGCTTAGAATTCTACTCTCCAGTCTCCACTCCACTTACACAAAACTAAATAAACTTGGTGTCATTTCATTCATTCCTACAAAATAACATTTCAATCTTTCTACTACTCTAACAAGAAATTACTATTGAAATCTTCCATGATCGAATATCATAACAAGGCTTGTTTGGAAACCAAGATTCAGCGGTTAGTGGACAGTATGCATCGACATCACTTGGACAAGACTTGTCTTTGTTTGGAAATCAAGGCGTAGTGCCGTTACTTGGGAATCAAGACTCAACGTTGGTTGGACAACCGCCGTTAGAACAAGACCTGGCCTCTTCGCTTGTCGGATATCAAGGCTCTGCTGCTGGACATGATGCCTCCGCGTTGACTAGAGAACAAGTCCCGGCCGCGATTGGAGATCAAGTCCCGCCTGCTGTGATCGGAGATCAAGTCCCGGCAATTAATATTCAAGATGATGTGTTTGATGATAAACCATTATTTGATTTTTTGGGTTTGAATGACGACTCTAAGTCATAATATTGGGATATATTTAAGGAAATAAGATATATGTGTATATTGTGATAATATTTCCTAGAATATTTTGTGGTTATCTTAGGTAACTTGGCCTTGCCCTCCAAGTATACCTAGTTATATATTGTATGAGGCCGTATTATTGTGAATGAGGAATGAAAGTCTAACTGGCTAATACAAGAGGGGGGGTGAATTGTATTTGAGGTGAAATCTAAAAACTTTTTGCGGAATTTAACTAAATGAAATAGTGACGAGAGAAGATATAGGCTTTTCTAAATTTCCACTAAGTAATCAAACTCTTTACAAGTGAAGATTCAAACCCGTTAACAAGTTCCACAAATTAGGAACTTGTTCCCAACTCTCACAGAAGACTTCAGCAACGAAGCTTCCTTGACCTCACTTTACAAACTCACAATCCCAACCCCTAAGTACTTGAATACAATCTGTGATTACAAATACCTATTGCACTCAAGAATATATGAAGGAAAATAACTCTCTTTATGTTATTAGATGGCTACTGGAATTTTTATGCTCAAGAGTTATGTTTTTCTGAGATAGTTTGCATGAGTATTTATAGAGAAGGCTTAGTCATTAACCTCCACCATAATCACGTCCACATGTCAACAACCCACTAACAACTTGTGGAGTTATCTTGACAGATTGTGATCATGAAGAGGTTTCCTAGCCTTATCTAATTAAACCACTATCCTAACAACTTGATAACCATTAGCCGTATAAAAGATTTTCTCACAGAAAAACCACTTGCTAACTTTATCAAATATTTATTTAAAAGATTATCAAAAGTTTGTTTAAAAAGATTTTATTTGAAAAGATAAATTTATTATTTATTAAAACAACTAGATAATTATCTTCGATAATTATCTTTATTAAAACTTTTACAAATTATCTTTTCTTTAAGAAATTATCTTTTAAAACTAACTTTTATTCCAGTAGTCTTTAACATAAGTCATTGAGTTCCTTTCCGACTTTATATTATTGAGTGCTCACAATTAAAACTAGAACGTGAGATTTGCACGAGGCTTTTTAAAGAATGCTACTCCGCATCCAAGTTCCTACTCCGGAACGAACTTTGCTTGAACCCTTTATTCACCAAAGACTCAAAACATTCATTAGTCGAGTTTGTCAATTTGTCCATCAAAATCAAAAGGCTCAACAAATTCCCCCTTTTTGATGATGACAAACATTGACAAACTTAAGTAAATAAAATCATCCAGGCATGCAACAGAAATTTAAAGTAAGACATGAAAACAAAAAAAAAAAACAGAGTAATTAAAGAACTTAAAAAAAAGCTAAAAAGTATTTATTTTAAAAAGACTGAGCAAAAGAGAAAAAATTAACAAAGACTTTAAAATCTTAGAAAAAGTTTAAAAACTTAGATTACTAGGACTTTATTAACTTAGAAAAGTTTGTACCTTCGATGTGTGAGTTCCTTGGTAAACACTTTAGCCGCCATGAAGTTTGTCTTTTCCCCCTTTTGGCATTATCAAAAGATTGAAAAAAAACATTTTGCTATACTCCCACTAGACTACGTAGGGAATAGTGAGCTCAAATAATGCAAGGCAAAAATAAGTTAGGTACTAAATCATCAGCAACCTCACACAATCATATGAAAAATACGAGCCAAGTTCCGATTTAGGAAATAGAAGAGGAACATAGAGAATGTAGCAAAGGATAAAGGCGTACAAACCAAAGTTCAGAGAGATTAAACAAGACCAAAATAAAATTGTTCAACATATGAAATTAGAATAAGTGCAATCAAGGATTTAAAAGGCTGCATTGGTAGGATCAAGGGTTGGATTTGTGGGATCAATAGAGTCTTCCTCGACTTCCTCAAAGGCTACTCTGTTGATAGTTTCCAAGATCTCCTTGTTGCCTTCACTAAACTTGCCTTCAGCCTGTGCAAGCTTTGCCTCTACGCCTGCAAATCCGGTTGCTTGAGAATCTGCCAGAGCCTGCACCTGGCCTTTAAGAGAAAGCAGTTCCGAGGCCATTTCCTCCAGTTTCTTGCTCACCAGAGTAGTCAACTTCTCCATATCTGCTTGAACCTGTTGAAAATCATAAACAGACACACGAGTTCCAGAGAAAGCAGCAAAGCCAGTAGGCTGAAATGGAGGAGGAGAAGGTGAATGAGAAGGCTGCCTAGTAGGTGAGACAGGAATAGAAGAGGGTTCAGTGGAAGAGGGAACTTGGGTAGGTTTGAAGGTGGAATCAGATTTGTCTGAGGAGCTGATGGTTTCTACAGTCACAGGGTGTGTAGTAGAAAGGGCAGGCTTGACCACATTCCTCTTACTCCTTCTAAGGCCCCCTGTAAACACAGGAATGACAGGTGGTCCAGCTGTGCTCTCAGAGTCTGTGGTATGTTCCCTCTCACTTTGATCAGTTCCCTGCCCCTCATGTAAGTCAGATTGTCGAGCTTCCCCCTCAGAAACTTCCATATGTTCCCCCTCAGAATCTTCCTGTTTTTCTCCTTGCACATCTCCCTCAAGTATTTTTTCTTTGTTTTTCTCTCCGTTAGAACTTTTTTCTTCTTCCTTATCTCCCTCAGAATCACTGGAGGTGGTAGCACCCTCACTAGCCTCCTCACTACCCTGGTCACTGCTTGCATCACATTCTTCCTTAGCTTCTTTCCCTTTCCCTTTCTTTTTCTCCCCTCCTTTCCGAGGCACAAAACATACTTTGCCATTTGTAAGCCTAAGACTCAGTCTAAGTAATGATTGTTCAGAGAGGATATTATCGGGTTTGAGATATGTTGGGGATTCACATTCAACATCAATACCAAAAGATTTGAACAACACAGTAAGGAAAGAGCCATATGGAATTGTGGTCTTTTGAGCATAAAAATTCAAGTGTTCAATCATTAGAGCAGGGAAATTAATCTGTATTTTGCATGCAAGACAGAATATGAGGGAGGCATCCAAGAGTGATACGGTACTCCGTTTTTGTAAACGGGGTACTATACCCTTCCAGGTGAAGGTAAACAGTAGCTTATGAAGGGGTGTTAGGGCATGATGGTGAGTAGTTTTCACTTTCGGATTTCCTCCAATAAATTGAAGGATTTTGCATTCATCATTATGGCCAATGTTTACAGATTGTTTGTGCTTTAAATAAGAACAATAGCCTTTAACAGGAACTTGAAATAGATTTCCAAGATAATTGGCATCAAACGAAATTGGAATATCATTAACTACGGCCGAGCACACACCATTATCACATTGAAAGGTATTTTTGAACTCATAAATAAATTTAGGATAAACAGGGTAATGAGAACAATTCTGGAACAAGTGAGTCCATTTTTGATAATCAATTAAAGAAGTAAATTCAGTGAACTTACTCGCCACACACCAATCATAGTTGATGTGATATCCGAGAGTGTAATTCCATGATGGGAATTTGGTGGTTGCGCGCCGTTTCCTGTCGCCGCCCTTCACAGCCTTAGCCTTCCTCTTTGGCTGAGCAGATGGATGCACCACCGCAATTGGCACCGGTTGTGGAGACCCCGTGTTTGAGGAGGGTTTGAATGGTGGTGATCGGGTTTTTGGGGTGGTGTTTCGGTTGGTTTTCATGGTGTTGAAGATAAAATGAAGGGAAGGAGAAGATGAATAGTGTGAATAGGAAGGAGAGAGAGTGAGGCCGGTTATGGGAGTGTATGGGGAATTTAATTGATTTGATAGGTGAAGGTGGAGTGAAAAGAAGAAAAAGAGTTTAATGGGGAGGAGTGAGAAAGAAAAGTGACGGTTTAAACTGTGAGGTAGTGGGGTAGTTTTAGAGGTAGTAGGATTTAATTTGGTGAAATAATTGCACTCATCTAATACAATGTTGATAAAATAAAATCGTAAGTTAAGAAGTTGATATACATGCTTCTTATCTTACGTAGCAAATAAGATCTTTTTGTATTTTTGAATTCTATGAGGAATAGAAAAATTCATCATGAAAAAATAAGGAAGGAAAAAGATAAGAATAAAAAATAAGATAGAAATAAAAGATAAGAAAGAAAATAACAAGAAGAAAAATAAAAAAAAAAAACGAAAAAGATAAATGAGAGCAGATTGATTGTAAATTATGATGATAATTTACGTGATCATGATACAGAGAGTAAAGAATGATGAAAAAGGAACTTGAAACAACATGGCTCAATACTTTTAACATATTAAAAGTATGTATAAGTGACTTTTCAATACTTCACAAATCTTTCCCCTGGGTAATTTCAGCTGTGTTATTCACACAAGATTGAGCGTAGCATTGTTAGTTACATCCGATTTTACCTTAGGGGTTCCAAACAAAAATCACTTGAGCCGTAGCATCCCCAATTCCACACGCATCTTTTCAAACTTGTCTCTGCTTAAAGGCTTAGTTAAAATGTCAGCAATTTGAAATTCAGTAGAAATAAAATCTAGCTTAATTAAGCCCTTTTCAACATTATCTTTCAAAAAGTGATGCCTTATATGTATATGCTTAACTTTAGAGTGTTGTACTGGATCTTTAGAAATGCAAATGGCACTTGTGTTATCACAATGAATAGGAACGCACTCTAAAATAATGCCATAGTCACGCAACTGTTGTTTTATCCATAGCAATTGAGAGCAACATGCAGCAGCAGCCACATATTCTGCTTCGGCAGTGGATAGAGCAACAGTGTTTTGTTTCTTGGAACTCCAAGAAACCATGCAAGAGCCTAAGAATTGGACTATACCTGATGTGCTTTTACGATTGACCAAATCTCCTGCATAGTCAGCATCAGCATATCCTTTTAGGTCAAACGAGTCACTTTTTGGATAAAACAGACACAAGTCTTCCGTCCCTTTCAAGTATCGTAGAATTCTTTTGACGGCTGTTAGATGCGATTCCTTTGGATCCGATTGAAATCTAGCACAAAGACCTACACTAAACGAAATGTCAGGTCTGCTGGCAGTTAAATATAACAAGGAACCAATCATACCTCTGTATTTTGTTTGATCCACACGAGTTCCCTTGGGGTCTTGGTCCAACCTTGTGGTTGTTCCCATGGGAGTGTGGTTTATCTTTGTGCTTTCCATACCGTATTTTTTTAATAACTCCTTCACATATTTCTGCTGATGGATCATTATTCCTTCGTTAGTTTGCTTAATTTGGAGCCCAAGGAAGAAGTTGAGTTCCCCCATCATGCTCATCTCAAACTCACTGCTCATTAAATCAGCAAAGTACTTGCACAAGGATTCATTAGTTGCACCAAAAATAATATCATCAACATAAATTTGTACAATTAATAAATGAGTTCCTTTTGATTTTAAGAACAAAGTTTTGTCAACTTTTCCTCTTTTAAAATCATTTTGTAAAAGGAATTTGATAGAAGGTAATCCGATTACCAAGTCCTTTGACCTTAATTTGTCAAGCAATGAAAGACTAGCATGTCCAAAACGTTTATGCCATAGAAGTGGATCATCCTCAATAACACTTAAACAAGATAGATTGTATTTTGGAACTTTGTTAAGGTCCACGGTATATGTGTTCCCTTTACGAGTTCCTTCCAAAACGATTTTACCAGTGTTATTGTTGATGATTTTGCATTTTTCAGAAGAAAAGCTTACAAAGTTTCCTTTATCACAAAACTGAGAAATACTGAGTAGATTATGCTTCAAACCCTCGACTAAAAATACATTGTCAATTGCATGGGAACTTGACCTTCCTACTTTGCCAACAGCAACAATGTTGCCTTTCTTATTGTCTCCAAAGGTCACTGTTCCCCCTGTATAGGCCGTCAGTGAGAGAAATCTGGATTCATCTCCTGTCATGTGCTTAGAACAACCGCTATCGAGGTACCACTGGTTGTTCCCCCTCACTTCGACCTGCAAAAGAAATTAAGAGTTAGTAGTAGGAACCCTTTCATTCATGGGTTCCTGTGTTGACACATTTAAATCAGATTTCTTCTGCCAAACATAATTCACATTCTTATTGTACAGATTTGCTTTCTTAGTACATTCTTCACTACGATGTTCCTTTTTACCACAGAAAGAACAAACGGTCTCACTAGGTAAGTTCACATATTTCTTTTTCTTTCCAGTGGACTTCTTCTTATGAACATAGCCTAGACCTTCTGTTCTTTTTGTCTGAGCTTCCTTTACCCACTTGGGAACACCCGTGCTTGCTGTATTTTTACTTTTTCTTGCAATTTCTAGGTCCTTTTCTAGTTTCTCATTTTTATCATTGGTTTCCTTTATCTCTTTCTTAACATGCTCTAGTTCATTATTAAACATGATTAAAGGAACTTCAGTAGACCTGCAAGAATCAATGTTAGTACACAACATTTTATATTGAGTCAATTCAATATTCAGCATGATATTCTCACTCTTGACTCTTTCAAGGGATTCTTTTAGCATAATATTTTTATCTAACAATTCAAAGAATCTGCCTTGAACATCATTTCTTAAGCTATTCA